CGTGCTGTCCAAGCCCACCATGAGCGTGCGGCAGGGCAGCGTAGCGTTGACTAAGCCCCGTGATCGTGCAGCAGGGCAGCTTAGCGCGGCAGGCGCCTCCGCGCTGTGCCGTCCAAGCCCCCCGTGAGCGTGCGGCAGGGCAGCGTAGCGTTGGCTGGGGCCCCCGCGCCGTGCCGTCCAAGCCCCCCGAGAGCGTGCGGCAGGGCAGCGTAGCGTTGGCTGGGCCCCCACGCCGTCCAAGCCCCTTGAGCGTGCGGCGGCCTAGCGTGGCGTCGGCAGGCGCCTTCGCGCCGTGCCGTTCAAGCCCCCCGTGAGTGTGCGGCAGTGTGTAGCCGTGCGGTCCATTAAGCGAGAGAGCGTGCGGGCGATCGAGCGAGCGATCGAGCGTGTGCGTGCGTGCCGCGTGCACGGCGGCCGCTGCTGCTGCTGGCATCTACTGCGTTACCTGCGGCACGGCCGAGAGCGCGTCGGACGCCTCTTTGGCCGCGCAGATGCAGCCGCTGTTCGGGTAGAGCATCTGGTTCTTGGCGCCGTTCCGGTACGACACGCTCATCTCGGTGGTGAGCTGCGTGCAGCGGAAGTCGCCCTCGGTGCCGCAGCGGCAGCCCGTCTGGCGGCAGGTCACGGTCCAGATGACCTCCGGGACGCGGTCGGGGTCCACGTCCTGCTGTACCAGGAACTTGCACATGCCGATCTCCTCGGCCTGCTTGACGGAGACTGTCTGTTGCGGGTTGCGTTTGCGGCGCAGCTCCTCGAGGAGGCGCGGAGGCGCGTGCCGCAGGGCGGGGGTGGCGGCCGACGGCGGCGGCGGCGGCGCGGGGGTTGGGCGGCGTGGCGCGCCGGGTCCCACGGGGTGGGCGGCCGCGCAAGGGCCACCACGCCTCGCCGCAGCAGCGAAACGCCACCACAAACCCACCAACACCAAGGCTCCAGCGGGATGCGTCCATCGTTTTTTTCGCCGGAAAATATCTTTTCGCTCTGCTTTCCTTCCGCTTCGAAAGGCAGGTGGGGGTTCGAAGCGACTTGAAATGCTCGCGTCCCCTCCTGCGCTTTTATACTGCTGCTCTGCGCGCCGCCCGCCGTCGCCGCCACCGCCTGCCTCCGTTCGCCATCGCCGGGTTCCGGGCGTCGTCGTCGTCGCCGCGCGCCCAACCACCGCCGGCGGCGCCGCGGGCGACGGCGTGGCCCGCCGCGGGTGCCGGCCCGCAGCGCGGGGATGAGAATTGAGTCGGCCGGCGGCCCCCCCGCGCATCTGCGTTTTTCGCCGCCGGCCGTCACGCAATAGCGCGTAGTCCCTCCGCCACCACGCACGCACGCGCGCCACCGCCCACGCCGCACGGCCGGAAGTGGATGCACATCCTCCCTCCCCCCCTCTGGGCTGTCCCCTCGCGATGAAGCACAGCCATACGCCCACCCCCTATTGTACAATCGCGTCCCGCGCCCTCCCCCACTTTGAATGACATGCAGTGACGCATTTGGGCCCGGCGCCCCTCCGCAGTGAGACGCAGTCCGCAAACAAAACGAACGTGGCCCCGGGGAGGACCGCGACGCGACGCGACCGTGCGGAAGGGAATAGTACGGCGACGGAACTGCCGTGTTTGCGGCTGCTGGCGGCGCCGCTTGAACGCGGCGGGTTGGTGGCGGGGCGGGCGGCGAGGAGGGCTGCAGCGAGGGCGGCGAGGGGCAGCGGGTCGTGCGCGCGCGCGCGCGGCCCGTCGGGGGGTGCAGTGCGGCGTCGGCGGCAGCGATGACGGCGGTGGCGGCGCGGCGGCCGGGAGCCGGCGGCGGGGGCGGGGGCGGGGGCGCGAGGCCCGAGCCAATGCGCTCGCCTCACGTCAGAGAGCGCTCTCGCATTGGTCCTGGCGCGATCACGCACGTAACCGCGGCCGCGCGAACGGCCGCCGGCGCGCCGGCTGCGCGGCGAAGCAGTGGTCGACAGCGCGCGCGCGGTCGCGTGCGGCGCGAAGGAGCGCGAGCGGGTTACGCACCGCGGGTGACCCGGCGCCGCCTGTGCGCGCCCTACGTCCGAAACGCGCGTGCGGCCATTCGGCCCGGGTGGAGCGTTTGGGGACTGCGGAGTGCTAGATCACGGTCGGAGGCCTTCCTGGCCGTGGAGGAAGGAAATTGTTTCGATGACCGTTATACGTGTTTGCTCGTTTTCTGCCCGTCAACAACAAACGCCCACTGTACACGTAGGCTTCCGCGGCTCGAGTTCATTCCTTCTAGGCTGTCCGGGTGACGCCGCGTCGTTGGCAGACAGGCCAATTAGTTGGCCAGGTTGGCCTATCTGCCAACGACGCGGCGTCACCCGGACAGCCTAGAAGTAACAAACGCCCACGTCGGGACGAATATCGGTTTTCATTACTAGCGTTTCCCGTCGTTGTGGTTTGCCCTGATTGTGTAGTACGCACGCTCGGCATTGCATCACGTTGTTGACAAACTAAGGTCAGTTTCGTTTCACGAAAGTACTTTCCGTCTTGTGTTATATATATTTCCTATCGGCCTTCGTACACTAACAATTCGTAATGTCATTTCTCTTAAAAGTTTTGCAGCAAACGTTTAATTAAACACGGAATATTTTAATTATAGAGTACAGAAATAAGATTATAATAGTGTATGATTATTTTGCTGTTGATCAGTTTCAAACGTCCTAAAGAGATCGCAATGTTAGAAGAACCTATGTTCTAACAAATCAATACAATTCTGCTGCGCAATGGTTACAGAATACGTTTTTTCTAATTATTTCCTTGACCTTATTACTCATTTTGTAGAAAGAATTAATTTGCGTTGGTTGAAATATTTTCGTAAAGCGAGTAGTCGTTATTTCTTCGCAGTGAGCTTTTACAGTAATCTGGATTGTGGTACTATCGATAGCTATTTTTTGTCATTAAGAAAAAATGAAAAATTGCGTATAAAAGTGGACAAATTATTACACCAAAGTAACTTATTAACACTTACGAGAAAATTAGAAAATGTAATATGGACATTGGTTGATCACTAATGGCAAACCACTTGATCATTTGATTTTCATTAATTTTTCACATCAGTATTTTTCATAACTTTATTTCAAATTTTTTATTTACAATAAATACATCTTACGAAATTAGTAGACATGTTACGTCGAGGGTGAAGGAATAAAAATCTGCGGAACGTTTTCTGCATTTAATGCATTGAGCTTTTAACTGCTATAACGTTTTTACACAGATGGAAACAAGTTTTTACCGTACTTGCCGGTATTTCTATCTAAGAAAGAAATTTTGAGAATTTTATTAATCCCACAATCGAAAATATTTCAATACAGAATTTGCTTACAAAAGAATGCTGCTTCAGTTCAAGGAAATTAGTAAAACGTAATGAAACGCAAGTCCATTTATTTAATCCATTTATTTAAAACAATCGTATACTATTTTCAAGGTGTGCTAAAATTTCAAAACAGACTAAAGCATCGATTATCGTTGAAATTATCAATAACATTCAAATTATCAAGGCAATCTCGAAACAAGGTACGCCAAAGCAACAAAACTGTATCTTTAGAGAGAAGTGCGTAGTGTACATGAATTCCTAATGAATATAACACTTCAAATAATTATAAAGAGATGTGGCACATTCTGCATCAAAGATAATGCATTCACAAAAAGTAGTTTGTGCCATAGTCAAAGAAGAGATTGAGGACAATAAAAAATCAGGGCATGTGGACGAATTTTTAAAGCTAAACTACAACTAAACCAGACTTTCGTTCAAACTGGAACTTGATGAGGAACAAAGACGCCTCTGTATTTCTGTTTAACATAGCGACCTGGACGGCAGAGGTGGCTAGAGCGAGTGCCGACTCAGCGCCTCGGTCGGGAGGGTCGCGGCTTCAAGTCCCGTCGTGGGCACGGTTGTTTGTTCCTTGTCTTTCATGAATGTGAGGTATCGCAGAGGGCCTTGCGAGAATGATGGCCACATACCGAGGAGCCCACAAGTGTGTCAGTGTCTAGTGTAAAGGTTAATACAAGTATATGTCCCCATGAGGGACATAGTAACGGCGGATGTTCGAAAATCGGCATCCCTGCAGCTAGAAAAAGTCACCGGGAGAAAAAATACTGTCTAACATCGCTGCAGCTAAACGAGGTATTCGCCAAGATTCCGATAAGTGGGGAGAGGCAGCCACGTCGCTCAGAGGGCAGGAAAAGGATGAAGCGGTCTTATCATTTTGCTCGCTATAACAAGTCGAGAAAACTCGAATATCATTGCCACCAAGCAATAAAACTATTTATTTTTTTGTTTCGTTTTACCTTGTCATTCGATACTGAGTTCGATATGCGCTGCATAACTGAGCTAGGTCGAGAGGACGTTGTTACGAGGGAAATATGAAAACAGTTGAATGATGCTACACGTTTCCTTACGGAGGGAATTATGAAAGGGAATAATGGGAGGGAAACAAAGCCAAGTTTCACGCTAGTTAATCAGTGAAAAAGTAAATCGGAATAAATAAAATTAGGTAAAAATAAAATTATGTATGTACCACGGGCGTTAACTGGTTCTAATGACCTCGGGCCAAAGGCCCTCAAGGGTTTTGTTGCCGCTCGGTCATTAGAACCGCAATAACGCCCGTGGTGCATAAAAAACTATTTTTCACGGCCGGGAGAAAAAGTAGATTTTATTGTTAATAAGTAAAGGGGAAAAGTAAACCAATCACTTCCTAAAGAGGTAATATTTTCTGCATAGGGATTAAATATTGCCTCCTTTGTTTACACTACGACAATGAAAACAAACGAAACGCACGTGTAAAAATGTATGTAAATTTATGTATTATTTGAACATAACGCGAAGCGCAATATTGCCTCTTTGTTTCTTCGCTGAAATACCCCAGGTAGAAGTTCTCACTTATATTTAATATTGCTTTACACCAATATTTACACCAATCCTTTACACCAATATTTAAATTTCTGCATCATATATTTTTTAAGATATTTTGGCATTAAATTTCCAATAGCTTCATTAGCAGCGTCATATATGAATTTAGTTCCAGCCGTGGCCTTTATTAAACATGTAGTCGTTTATTAACAGTTTTCGTGAAAAAACAAAAAAAAACACTATTCACAAGCCATAGTTGCCTCATGCCTTAATGTTGGCGGGTTCGAATCCCGCTCGGTACATGGATGTTCAGGTGTGTCCTTATACTGTTACCGTTACCCCCAATGTGGTCGCTATATGACCTTAGTAATTGAAAAGCGACCTTCAATAAATGAAAATAAAAAAATAACTCAACAGATTTCACTTATTTTAAATTACAAAACTTCATATTTAAGTACATTTTCTGTAGTTATTATGGTCCTGAAAAATTAGAATATATACCGCGGGAGAAAAATATTAGAAATCGAGGTTCCTCATGATTTCATTGTATCCTTCGGGATACAATGAAACCTTGGGAAAAATAATTCGCATTTCTCTCCCTTGATGTATTACGTGAATGGAGAATACTGTTAAGTAAAGGAAAAGGAACTATGAAACTTCTTTAATGCACAAAGACAACGGTGTTGAGTTACACAGCGCAACCTTTGAATGTACTGAACCAATATCGATGAAACTTTTGAATTAGTTCTGTTTGAAGGCTAGGAGAACTTAATACTATAGTTTATAACCATAAGCAATAATATATTTACAAAATAATTACTTTTTTGAACCTTTTTCGTCAAGCATTGTATCACAGATACAGGTGTTCACCCACGCCGTTGTTTAGCAGTACGCTATCAGATGTCAATGGCTGAGATCTGCGTTTGAGTTCAGGGAAGGCTATTTTACATTCAATTGTTTAATTGACAATTTTCATATTTATGAATGGTTGTGTCAGTTTCTCTTCACATCTACTTATAATGATAATTTGAATATTGATCTTAACTGAGACTAGGCAAGAATATACAAAGTGTGTAAGAGAAATGCGATTAATTTAAATCTTTGCTGATGGATATGCTTGGTTTGGTCATAAAAATAAGTATATATTCACTTGCGTGTTTTGTTTCTGTATGAAATAGTTCTTGGTTTAGTTTTATTAAAGTAGTCATGAAGTTCAGAATCTTATGTCATATTTGTGGGTTGCACGAGCGAAAGTGAAACATATTATGACTGACATACGTATCGAATCTAAGACGGTGACAGATTGGTTACGTTTTTGTAGGGATGTGTTGCATGATTTTGAACATAATAGTAATATAATTTGAGAAATTGTGAATAATTAGAGGTAAGGGAGTATAAGTTATAACTATAGGACACTGTATGTGGAAATCAGAATGGTGTTTCAATAGAATTTGGAAGTGACCTGACTGAATAGGGGAGAATATGTTGAGGAAAAATATGGAAGAGAGAGATGGTGATCAAATGGTATTTGAAAATATATTGGAGAGTGTAGATTTTGAAGAGTGAAAGTGTTCCCCTGGGTAGTAAAATAATTATTTTTAAAATTTATGAAAGAAAGTTTGGTAATGAAGATACAGGATTGAATGTTAAATTAATATTACAAGAAATTGAACGTGTGTAAAAAAATGCTGTTTTTCAAGAATATTAAAAAAAATGCAACAAGATTATTTCTGATGTTAAAAAAACTTTTGCCAAGCTGTGATTCGCTGCGAAGAGGTCGAGGTCGACCCATAAGTCTATAATTTTTGTCAGCGAAAGGAAAAACAAAGCTTTTTTGGAGAATGAGACATGACTAATATTCTATTTTTGGCTGCTTTATAGTTTGTTAGGCACGTTTGTTTAGCATTTCGATTATAGTGCTTAGATTTTAGGAAACATTCTAAGGCCTTTAGTTAGTATTTATGAAATGATGGTTAGCACTTTCTTCCCCCGACTCCTTCAATTGTCCAAAAGATGGTTATCGCACTTTTCTAATCAATCCTTCAGCTTTTCAAGGACCCTAAAACTACGAATGCGAATACAACCGTAGGCTCTTGTAATGTAATTAATATAAATAAATGTAGATAGACGTTAGTGGCACTAAGAATAAATTGAATTGAATTGAATTGAATTTGCCTTATTTTACGTGGCGAGAAAAAATTTCAAACCTATATTTA